AAAAAATGCCTCTGGAGAAGGCTGGGAGGAGCCACGTGGGGCTGATCCAGGATTGGAGACATCAGGATGGACTCACATCCCACTCAATGTTGTTCCCCATAGATGCGTATAGACGTGTTTTTTGTTTTGTGTTTTAAGTTTGATTTTATTTATTTATTTATTTTATTTGTTTTGAGTTGGAGTCTCACTCTGTCACCCAGACTGGAGTGCAGCGGCCGCTCCCGGCCACCACCTCGCTAGTAGCCGGAACTACAGGTATGCGCTACCACGCCCGGCTGATTTTTTGATTTATTGTAGAGATGAGGTCTCGCCGCCCAGGCGGGTCTCGAACCCGTGGGCTCAGGCAATCCACTCACCTCAGCCTCCCAAAGGCGCGGGATTACAGGCTGAGCCACCAAGCCCGGCTTTGATTTTATTTTTTATTGACAAATAGTAAGTGTATATTTTTATGGAGCATATGTGATGTTTTGGTACATAATGTACACTGTGGCGTGGTCAAATCAGGCCAATATCCGTCACCTCAAATACTTATTATTTCTCTACGATGAGAACATTTAAAGTTCAGTCTTTTCACTATTTTGAAAAAGATAATATATTATTGTTAACTGTGGTCACCATGCTGTGCAACAGACCCTCAGACCCTATCCCTCCTGACACTGTGCACCCTTGACCACCATCTCTCCACGTGCATTCGGCCCCTGGTAGTCACCACACTCTCCGCTTTTTTTTTTTTTTTTGAGTCGGAGTCTCTCTGTCACCCAGGCTGGCGTGCAGTGGCACACTCAATGGCCACCGCAGCCTTGACCTGCTGGCTCAGGCAATCCTTCCACCTCAGCCTTCCATATAGCTGGAATCACAGCTGTGCACCACAACGCCCAGCTAATTTTTTTTTAATTGTAGAGACGAGGTATCACCCAGTTGCCCAGGCTGGTCTCAAACCCCTGGGCTCAGGCAGTCCTCTTGCCTCTGCCCACCAAAGTGATGGGATGACAGGTGTGAGCCACCATGCCTGGCTCACTCTCTGCTTTTATGAGTTCAACTTTTTTAGATTCCACATATAAGTGAGATCACACAAGACTTGTCATTCTGTGCCTGGGTTATTTTACTTAGCCTAGGTCCTCCAGGTTCACTCTTGTGGTCACAACTGATGGCATTTCCTGCTTCTTTAAGCCTGGGCAGTATTCTGTTGTGTAGACAGCCCACACTTTTTAATCTGTTCTTCTGTGGACAGCCATTCAGGTTGATCCAGCATCTTGGCTATTGTGAACAGTGCTGAGTGAACACGGGGTGCAGACATCTCTTCAACATGCTGATTGCAACTCCTTTGGATAGAGACCCGGGGGTGAGATTGCTGGATCTAAAAATATGCATAGAGGTGTGTCTGTGCACCTCATGTATACAGTTAGGAAGGACATGCATGTCTCCCTGCTCTGTCTGCTGACAGAGCCTTGGCACACCCAGCACCCAGATCTTGGCTTCCA